TCCCACTCGTATACGTGTCCAACCCACGCTTGAAACAATCGAGGGACCCCACCTCCACCACGTTATGCAGTAATTGGTTCCACATATCAACAAACCTGTTACCGTACCAGTATTTACTCAAGTGTTTCCTAAATCTAAACTTATCCAATTTATACCCATTGTTTCGTGTACAAAACGTGCCACAAGGGTGGCATGTGCCACCCTTGGTCACTGCTCCATCCTTGTTTACTCTGTCTCTTCCCCGCTTGACGGGGTTGTGTCACTGGCTCCTAACGGGTGTTTGGTGTGGCGTGTTGTGTTTGGTCACCTTGCATGTGTCTTCAGTGACTCTCCTTTGTCCATGTATCTTGTTCTTTTTTGTCCTGTAGGGCTCTGCCCCACATTTCGGTGCTTTTGGTTTCGTTTGTCGGCACCTGGATCTTTTCCCTATCTTGACACTCATTCCTTGCCTTTCTTTGGTGCCTGGTTGCACCCTGCTGTCCATGAGGTCCCTAGGGTATGAACGCCCTCCACTACACATGTGGTTGGTTGTGTGCATTACTTCCCGGCCGCTCCTTGGTCCGTTTTCGGGGTTTTCTTTGCCTATTTCCGTTTTTCCTCCTCCTATGCTACACTTGTCTGTGTATCTGGGTCGGTGCTTATTGACTATCCTGATGTTGGGTTCTCGGGTGGGCCTCTGTGCATGTTCAGTTCCCTGCTTTTGGACTTCTCCGGTGTTCCGTTTTGGTACCGAGTTCCTACGATTTTTCTTTGTGACTTACTGCAGGCCCCTGCAGTAAGTCACTGTGTGTGTTGCACTGTCCACACTGTCCACATCCCTGCAGTTTGTTGCACTGTCTGTGGGGGGTTGTGGACTTTCGATCCGCTGCTCCTGCCTTACTGGTTCCTTTTCTTGGAATCGGTAGCCGGGTTCCGGTCCTGGCTCCGGTTTTTCTTTGTTCCTTTTCCAGAACGGGTGTGTTTGCTTTCCTGCAGTTAACGTCCTGCATAGTTCTCCTCTTCGATGCCTCAGGGACACATGCGTCATTTTTCCCTGCTGGAGCTGGTTATGTTGCTCCTTTGGGTTGCGGGGTCGCTGTTTTTCGATTCGCATTTTGCGCTTTCGTTCGGGGTGCTTGTTTCTCATTGTTTGTGTCGGCACTGGTGGGATCGTTGTTGGTCTCCCACCTGTGTGTTTCGTCTTGGGGGTGGTGTGTAGTTTACCTGGTGGTCCTTCTGGTTTTCCTATCACTGCGAAGGGTCCTTCGGTCTCTGATAGGGTTGGCTTGTATTCCCTTCAGGGTTGTTCCGGGTTCGTCGTTTGGGACCGTGTACTGTCACCTCGTATTGGGTGGTACTGGCGGAACCACTCCCGCTTGCGTTCAGTGTTGCGGTTCCTTCTGCTCCATTCCGCTGGCTGTCCTGGGCGTTGTTTCACCTCCGGTCTGCTCTTGAGTTCTGGTGCCATCCTGGTCGTTGGCCTGGGTGGTCTATTTTCTTCCCGTTTTGGTCTTTGGGTTTCTGCTTGGTTGGTCGGGCCGGGGGGGTGCTTCCTTTGTTGTTCGGTTGCATTTTTTTTGCTGTTCTCTGTGCGTCTTGGCTTCTGGGGTCATGGACGCGTTTTGGTTGTTCGCGTTCCGTTCTTCCCTCGTTCCTGTTCGGGGGTTCGGGTCTGCAGGGCCTTTGTTTCGTCTGTAATTTTGTTTTTTTAGGTTAGGGCGCATGGCATCCACCTCCTGAATCCTTCCCTATTTTCCTTATCTGTGGTGAGATAGCTCCGGGGAGCCGACGGGGCTCCCCCCAGAAAACCAGCGTTGAATGTAATGAATTGCCATTTTCTGGGTGAGTCCCGGAGGCTCCCCAGCATCCCTTCCTCTTCCCTCCGGTTGGCGGCGTTTTTCGCGTATTTTGACATCCAGCCTAAGAACTGCCAGATGGATCGCCAACGCGGAAGGTATGGGGCTCCTCCTCCTCCCTCCCGGGAAGGGGGGAGGGGTTGAGCAGACAGTGGCGCGGTGACGTGATGACGTCATGCTAGTTTGATAATTTTGTTTGGGGAGTTCTGTCAACTCGTTCGGCTTTCAGTAGCAATATTTTCACCAGAATAGGGGTTTGTTTTGGGGTGCCTACCTCTCTGGGTGCCTATCCCAGTCGATGGCAGACATAGAATGCTTCCAACCACAAGGGGGTTTCTATAAACCATTGCTCCTTGTGCCTCTCTGAGGGGGCCAGGTTCTGGCTCAAGGTCCCCGGTAGGCAAGAACACCTAGCATTTTGATGCCAGAAAGTTATACATATCCATTCAGCCTGGATAGCTCCGGGGAGCCTCTGAGACTCGCCCAGAAAATGGAGTTTCATTACATTCAATGCTGGTTTTTTTCATTTTTTTTATTTTTTATAGAAAATGGTCATACACTGAACAAACCTTTTGACATTTTTTTCTTTTTCAAATTTTTTTCATTTAAAAAGAAAAATTAAATGCTTTGCAGCATTACAGCAGTGACTCCTTTACATCCCAGCATCATTAGCATCTTTTAAAATAAAAATAATTGATTTGCATCGATGGAGGCGTCCGAGAATTTGCGAGAACCTGCGAGAACGCTAGGAAGCACCACATGATTTGGTGCTTGGAGTAAAAGCTCGTCATTCCAGACAAATTTTCTGTGAGTGGTTCGCTCGTTACCTAAAATGATATATATATATTTAAATATTTATGATATATGTTCTTTACGGGAATCCTAATTTCAAAATGAATAGGAAAACAATTGACGTAACAAACATCTTGTTAAAATTCTTCTTTACTTTTAAGTAAAATTCATGACGTTTCAAATACTTCTCGTATTCATCATCAGATCTAAAAGAATACAGAAGTTACATTAAAATAAGCAGCAAACAATGAACTCATACTGGACAAAAGTACCTATCAAAAGACAAGAGATGTAAATGACACTAGTTACAAAATAAATACTGTTGAACTTACTTGAAGTGATCAAACAAAGTAAAACATGATACTTATCACATGGATACTCAAAACTAATTCAAATATTATAATAATAACTACACACTTATAAAAAATTTATATTAAACACAAATTTAAAACAATTATAGATTACTAGCTCAATCCTTGTAACTAGGATTACTTACATCCCTCTCTTAGTACAGTAGACTTCTTCCTCTATTGTGAAGACCTCCTGGAATCTCTTATTGGGTTCTTCACACTGTCATTCTCTATGTATCTGTTCTTGCCTTTTCTCGGTTTCATCACTTGTTCCTTCACCGCTGTTTTCCTCCTGATGTGGCTGTAAAGCAGCTTTGGTTGGGTCTCAGTTTTACTCGCGATGTCATTGTATCTTCTTGTATATGAATAAATAAATACGAAATTAAGATGAAACAAATTGAGTAGCTCCTCGGGAATATAATCTCATATTAAATATTATTTTCAAGGTTCGTCTGAGTTAGTGTGAGAATATCTGGCATCCTAAGATGTATTATATCATTTGGCTTCAGTATTTTCTATCTCGCTCTAGCTTAGTACAGTATACAGTATATGATTTTAAGGAACATGTTTCCTCTTTGTCCTTAACTTCCCCTATGTCTCAGCAAGAGAGCTTCATGGAGCCACCTGGGCTCTACCAGAAAGAGGCATTTCATTACATTCAATGCCTTTTTTTTTTTAAGAGAAGATCATTGCAAGGACAGGAATGACCATTAATAGTTGATAACATTAGAAAAAGTCTAAGATATCACAGACAGTTTTTGAATTGTCTAGAGATTTTACACAATTTTACTAGAGATAAAGGTATTGAAACAAATATTAATTGATACTAGTTCTACAATCTACAATATAACTGTGGAATGATAAGAGGAATAGCATAGAGTGAATCCTTGGCTAAGTGATATTCACTTTAACTGTGAGAATGGGTAGCGATATGTAAACATTTGAAAATATGTTTCCAGTTAACCTTTATATATATTGTTAACCTTTACTGCAAGGCTATTCTGTTATGATCTCCAGATATGTTGCATTGCTTTATGATGTTTAATTTTGCACATGATTTTATATAATATATATATATATATATATATATAAACACCTTTCTTGTTTTTTCAGCATCTGCCAGTCATCATATTGGAAACCAGTGTAAATTAAATGATGGCTCCTCCAGAGAACATTCCATCTAAGTTAGTGAGAGTTATTGAGTGTAAGCAGGGTGCTGTCAGAGCTGTCAGATTTAATGGTAAGTTGTCAGCCACAATGATTAGTTATCAGACTCGGTGGTAAGTTATCAAACTCAATAAGTTATCAGACTCAGTGGTAGTTGTCAAACACAGTGATATATGTCGGATTTAGGGGTGAGTTCGCTACCAGTGTGAGAAGCTAAATAATGTACTGGTATAAAATGAGTTTGTAAAAGTTCATGGAATGTGGATTTGGACTTGGTTAACCTCTGTAATGAACAGCTATAAAATACGTGCTGTCGGTGAGTAGAAAACAATTATTCCTCCAATTTTGTTTTTCCTCCTTATACTGTTAGAATGAATGTTTCCTCTGATCACAGGAAACTAAAAAATATATTGGATGTGGCATACTTTGGCCATAATGGGAGGAGGAAGTCTGGCAGTATTCACTCGGTGATAGAGGACATGCCAGGATGGTGTGCTCCAACCAAGCAGTTGGGCAGGGGGTTGCCACAAACACATTTTTACACAATTTCAATGTCTGAATGGTTTTATGTTATGGCTTCACTTTGCCTGTAACCGGGTTCTTTTCATATCAAACTTTATATGGGGCTTTAATGCCTCTTCTTACTCGATCCAACCCTTAGTCATAGATAAGTTATTAAGAACTGGCAGTAATAGTCCATTTAAAAGAAAAGGGGGGTAAACCACACTAAATAGAACCATCACCAAGTGTACTTCTTAACACTATCGCGCACCCCACGAGCGCGCCGCAGACTTTGACGTCACGGCCCCAATGTGTATACTCGTTTCAGTTTTCTCACCTTAATTCTGGTGCTACATCGTTCGTTTTGGTATCATTGTGTTTGCAATTAAATTCCCTACAGGTGTGTATAAATATAATGTCCAAAAGCCTGGCGTGACTCCCAACAGCAAAGCCTAAAGTCGGCAAAAGTTACCCGTGAGCGCACAAAATCAGTAAAATGTGCATACTCGTTCCATTTTTCTTACCTTAATTCTCGTGCTACATCGCTCGTTTTGGTATCATTGTGTTCGCAATTAAATTCCCTACAGATGTGCATGAATATAATGTACAAAAGCCTGGAGTGCCTCCCCGCAGAAAAGCCTAATGTTACCCGTGAACGAGCACCAATTTGTATACTGCAACCTAATGTGTATACTCATTCAGTTTGATTACATCAATTTTCGTGTTATGTCTTTCATTTTGGTATCAAATTGTTCACAATAAAAAGGTGCGTATTTTAAAACTAGTCCCATAATAATAGAGCAATAACTGGAATTTTAACAAATATTTTAATTCTGGAAGCTCATCATCACAAAATTATTTATATCTTTCCAGTGTTCTGACATAAATTTTTGTGTTACATCTTTCATTTTGGTATCAAATTGTTCGTGACGTAAAGGCGCGCATTTTAAAACTAGTCCCAACATAATAGCACAATAAATAGAATTTTAACAAATATTTTAAAATTTTGACCAAAAACCTATTTATAATCATTCAAGTGTTCGGACATCAAGTTTCATGTTACATCTTTCATTTTGGTATCAAATTGTGCGCATTCTAAAGGCGCTTATTTTGATACTATCCCGAGGTCGATTGGATAAAAAATGAATTTTATACAAATATTTTTGTAGTGGACGCAAGTCCAGTCCAAAGTTAGGACTCGAGAGAAAAATAATGGATGAGAGTCCGATCCAAAGTCCAAAGTGAGCGATAGTGTTATTCTGCACAAAGTATCACCAACATCACTCCTGAGGAGTAAAAGATGAATAGTAAGAAGGAAACTACACAGGTATCAATAAGATCACAGCCTTCCACCGGGGAACAGAAAATGGGGTCGGGTTCTCTCAACAGATGGCACTGACATTGTCACACCACCTCTCCTAAAAGAATTTGAATTGGGTGTAATTACCTAAGTGTAGTTACAGGATGAGAGCAACGCTCATGGTGTCCTGTCTCCCCAGCACTCTGTCATATAACGCTTTGAAATTACTGACGGTTTTGGCCTCCACCACCTTCTCACCTAACTTGTTCCAACCATCTACCACTCTGTTTACAAAAGTGAATTTTCTTACATTTCTCTGGCAGCTTTGTTTCATTAGTTTAAATTTATGACCTCTTGTTCTTGAAGTTCCAGGTCTCAGGAATTCTTCCCTATCAATTTTAGAGATTACTGTTACTATTTTGTATGTAGTGATCATGTCACCTTTTTTTCTTCTATCTTCCAGTTTAGCATATTTAATGCCTGTAACCTCTCCTCATAGCTCTTGTCCATCAGTTCTGGGAGTCACTTAGTGGCAAGTCTTTGCACCTTTTCCAGTTTGTTGATGTGCTTCTTAAGATATGGGCACCATACAACCGCTGCATATTCCAGCTTTGGTCTAACAAAAGTTGTGAACAATTTCTTTAGTATTTCTCCATCTATGTATTTAAAAGCATTTCTGAAGTTAGAAGGTGTAGCATAGGTTCCTCGTACAATGTTCTTAGTGTGGTCCTCAGGTGACAGTTTTTTTTATTTAGAACCACCCCTAGATCTCTTTCTTTATCAGAATTCTTTAACCACTGTGCTGCGCCGAGTTTATTGTGAAATTCCCCCTGCGTGCGCTGAAATAAAGTGTTCCCAAAAAATTCTTTTTTCTTCATAAAATGATAAATTCCCATCCCTGAACATGTCCATGTAAAAATAAATACCAAATTCCACTTACTTTGGCTGTGGGGACGTGGACAAAGTGTGCTGTGATGTCATCAGGGCCTGGTCGCCTGTGCATGAATCGCCCAGACACGGTCGCGCGGGCTATTCAAGCACCGGGTGTTGCCACAAATATATTTTCAATTATTTGTTCTATGTATATCCAATGCAGTTTTATTTGTTTTTTTTAATCATATATGATGCATATTTGTGTCCTTTATAATATGTATACAGTAGAACGTTGATAATGTTCCATGGAACTGTGATACATGTGTCAGTAATGTGTCCACAATAAATGTTTGTCGCAATATTACTAGTTAAAATTCACTAAAATTACAATATGTACAGTTTCACACACTATTTACACAATAACACACAGTGAGTCACAGGAAAGAGATGGTTGGGTTGACTGCATCTATCTGGACCTAAAAAAGGCTTTCGACAGAGTTCCACATAAGAGGTTGTTCTGGAAACTGGAAAATATTGGAGGGGTGACAGGTAAGCTTCTAACATGGATGAAAAATTTTCTGACTGATAGAAAAATGAGGGCAGTAATCAGAGGCAATGTATTGGAATGGAGAAATGTCACAAGTGGAGTACCACAGGGTTCAGTTCTTGCACCAGTGATGTTTATTGTCTACATAAATGATCTACCAGTTGGTATACAGAATTATATGAACATGTTTGCTGATGATGCTAAGATAATAGGAAGGATAAGAAATTTAGATGATTGTCATGCCCTTCAAGAAGACCTGGACAAAATAAGTATATGGAGCACCACTTGGCAAATGGAATTTAATGTTAATAAATGTCATGTTATGGAATGTGGAATAGGAGAACATAGACCTCACACAACCTATATATTATGTGAGAAATCTTTAAAGAATTCTGATAAAGAAAGAGATCTAGGGGTGGTTGTAGATAGAAAACTATCACCTGAGGACCACATAAAGAATATTGTGCAAGGAGCCTATGCTATGCTTTCTAACTTCAGAATTGCATTTAAATACATGGATGGCGATATACTAAAGAAATTGTTCATGACTTTTGTTAGGCCAAAGCTAGAATATGCAGCTGTTGTGTGGTGCCCATATCTTAAGCACATCAACAAACTGGAAAAGGTGCAAAGACATGCTACTAAGTGGCTCCCAGAACTGAAGGGCAAGAGCTACGAGGAGAGGTTGGAAGCATTAAATATGCCAAAACTAGAAGACAGAAGAAAAAGAGGTGATATGATCACTACATACAAAATAGTAACAGGAATTGATAAAATTGACAGGGAAGATTTCCTGAGACCTGGCACTTCAAGAACAAGAGGTCATAGATTTAAACTAGCTAAACACAGATGCCGAAGAAATATAAGAAAATTCACCTTCGCAAATAGAGTGGTAGACGGTTGGAACAAGTTAAGTGAGAAGGTGGTGGAGGCCAAGACCGTCAGTAGTTTCAAAGCATTATATGACAAAGAGTACTGGGAAGACGGGACACCACGAGCGTAGCTCTCATCCTGTAACTACACTTAGGTAATTACACTTAGGTAATTACTCAGTACTTCTGAAGTGAGTAATAATCAACCAAGTAGTCCATGGTACACAGCGCGACTTCGCTCTCATTGCACCAGGTACAGATAGATTTTCACTTCCTGTTTCTTCATTCTGTGTGCTTGCAAATAACGCACTCACATACACCCTTGGCTTTAGCACTTGTAGGTTGTATGTAGCCAAGCTTGTAAAGTATAAGGTAGTATTGAAAAGATTATAGGAAAAGATCAATTTGTAAGGTACTGTAGTCTTGAAAAGATCACTTTGTATAGTCCCACACAGGAAGAGATTCAGCTTGCCTCAAAGAGTGTCCATCAGTCAGAAAAAGATTCAGCTACCCTCAAGGAGTGTCCATCAGGAAGAGATTCATGTATTCTTGAAAATATCTATGGAAAACACCATCATGGAAACAGCTAACACTGTTCATCTATGCTACTTGTATCAGATGCATCATCACTGAACGCAGAAAACGATTCATCTATGTATCATCTAAATAAATTGGAGATAGCATAGGATTGCAAGTGCAGTGCAGAGCTACAACTGGATACGCTCGCTGTATTGTCCTCATAGGTGCTGTATCACTTGAATCCGACCTTTGTGTTAGGTCCTTATTGCACCTAGCTTCACCAATATTATGACCCTTATGTTCTTCAAATAATAAGGTTTGAATTTCACCGACAGAGCGTTATCCTTCAACACCGCGTCAGACAAGTGTTTGGGAGCCAGAGGTGTGTGAGCTCACTCAGTACTAACCCAGCCAGAAGCCCTAGAGCATTCTGGGAAATTTTTCCAAGATGGCTGCCTCTC